TTTTTTTTTTAAATTAAGAATAGTTTACATCAATTTTGCCGCCCGATTTGCTGGAGTATCTTGGCGTCCGATATAAATAAAACGGACAGAGATTAGTGTAAGCAGGTCCGATTTAGCTATATCTGATCAGACATGACTTTATAGTACATTTTCGCCCTGTTGAACTCCAGTATACACAACAAAACTTTACCACGATCAGAACCCTATAGGTAGTATATGACCATGGCAGTAATACCACATAACTCTTGAGAATGATACCAAGCTAAGGCTCTAACTTTTGGTCGTATTCTTGTCCATAATTTTCAAGGTGTGGGGGTTATAGAATAAATATTTTATTTTTATAATTGAGTTAGCAATGAAAAATTGGTCGTTGAGTGGGCTATAAGAGCATTCCCACCGGTTGAAACTAAACCACAACTAAAAGTCGGATTTAACTTTTTGAAAGCTTTCTCATTGTTTTCGGATCTGCACCGGTTCGACAAAAAGTAGACTAAAATTAGCCAACGGCTATTCTGCGGTGGTCCAGCAGTCAAATCTTACCTACGGATAGCTGGCGGATAGCCGGAATCCCAAGCGACCTCTTGAATTGAAAAGCATGCCAGCACGCGAGAAGGCCGCGCCTGGCAAGAATTATCACGCGTTGGAGGATCTCGAACTGGCAATAGCCCACGTTCATGTGTCTACAGATGCATCTGTCGGATAAAACCAGACGGCGGAGATGATGTGGACACGCGTGAAGGAAGTGATGGAGAGCTCGGAGCGTGTAGGCGAGGCCATCGCAAAAGGAACACTAGAGCCACGGGCTTGGACAAGTCTCTCGGCTCATTTTGGTCAGATGCAAAAAGCAATAGCCAAGTACGTCGGGTGTATGAAGCTAGTTGAATCGCTGCGCGAGTCTGGGTCGACAGAACGCGACATGATGCAGAAGTCGCTGTCATTGTACAAGGAGCGCCACGGTCATCACTTTGGATACATGGAGTGCTATGACGTGCTCGCAAAGTGTCCTAAGTTCCAAATGTCGGTTGAGAAGGTCTCTGAACGCAAAAAACCCGCTCGAAGTAGTAAACGCCCTGGTCCTGATAATGTAATCGTGGAGGCGTCTTTGGAATCAGATGCTAACAGTATCATATCTACGACAGTAGAAGCCCGACCAGATCAAGGCGTCAAGGGGACAAAGCGAGCGATATCCGAGGTGTCGATGCGATTCCGCACAGTCGTGGCTCAAGAAACCCTGTCAAAGTCGATGATCTCCAAAGTGGACGTACTAAAAAAGCAACTCCGGATTAACCAGGCTCTTCAACGCATACAGGTAGAAGAAACACCCCCACCGCATGCTGAACAAGCTCTTCAGCATCAAGCCAGAGAGTGCTGAACATGCTACATATCTTGAAAGACGTCGATCTGGTTTGTTGCGACGCTTAAGCGCGCTGGAAGACCTAGCCACACCATCTCCACCCAGTCTCGAAGAAAGTATGGGAACATCGGGCTCTACTGCTGAAAATGCAATGACAGAGGCTAACTTGAGTGATGGTCATTCATTTGAACAGACAGCGGCATCTTATGAGAGTGGAGATGTACTCGCGTCTCCCGCGAAGTTGAGTGCTGTGTGTCCTGTGGTACTGGAAAACGTGACATCATTATCACTCTCTGGAACACAATCCTCGTTTTACTCATCAAGCTTCCCACCGTTGACGCAACCCTCGCAAATAAGCAGTGAAGTGGATGAATCCCACGTCTAGACCGACCAGATGTGCACTTACAGTTAACAGTGTCAATCCTGGATAAATTCATTATTCACAAGCGCCGATTACGAATATTGAATCTTACATAATGATCGAATCAGTCGAATACAAAACCAAAATTCATTATGAAGTGTCTTCCTTCTCCAAAAAATGTCCAAATGTGCTCCATAATGGCCTGTTGCAACCGGAAATACTGCTCTTTATTTTCAATTGCATTTATCCGAGCCGCAAGCTCTCCAATTGAGCGTGATCGATTCCCAAGTGGACGCGAGATGCGAAGTTTATAGAGATGTAAATGGTCATGATCATTGAACAAATACCCGTGCTCGTCGGCGAATGAGTGTCGATTTTCCTCGCAAATCATGTTGTGTAGAATAATACAAGCACGCATCACCTTTTTCATGTTTAGCCGTGAGTGAAGCTTGCACGGCACAGCCAAAATTCTCCATCGAGCTTGGAGAACTCCAAAAGCCCGTTCCACGTCTTTCCTAACGCTTTCTTGTCTTTGTGTGAACTTCTTTTGCATATTCCCACGCGGCTGTAGCATCGCTTTCAAGAAAACAGGCCAGTCAGGGTATATACCATCGGCAAGGCAAGATGCCATATTGTACGTCTGCCCATTGATCTCAAACTCAACACGAGGAGCGGTTCCATTCATGAGATCACCAAATATCGGAGATCGATTAAGAATGTCGAGGTCATTTAAGGAGCCCGGCCACCCGAAACTTGCATGCCAAATCCATACTTCCTGGTCTGCACATGCTTCTAAAACAACTGTAGGCTTTTTTCTTTGCCCTTAAACTCTCCTGCCCACCCATAAGGACAGTTCTTCCACTCTCAATGCATACAGTCGATGCTGCACCACATCCCGACAAATCCGCAGCGAGCATTCATCTCTAGAAGCCTCTTCAAATGTCACGTGAACTTGATTGTTGCAAGGTAAAATGGGAACTGAGTAGAATTGACCGAGCGAGCTCAAAGCTCGCAGTTAGCTAGATCTCTTACGTCTCTAAACAACCTGCTTAGGGCGGTCCTAAACCAACTCCAGACCAACCATTCCTTCATCGGCAGTGCCCTGTCGAACCGGTCTCGATCCGTGATCGAGTTGAACCGATTTGCCGGACCACCGGAATCTTGTGCGCGCGTCACAGATCTTCGACTTGCTGACA